AAACTAGGGTTATTAAAATTAACATAGACATAATTGAGTCAAAATAGGAAGATGAAAGATCATTGTTCCTTAATGTACAAACACAATAGCTATTATGAGTACTGGGGTGGATTTTTGGAAAGAGAGAGTCATAGGAAACACATAGAGTCCCTATCTTCTAAAAGCATACTGATATGAAACTAAATAATCGTAATAGAAGGAAAAGTAAATAGAAGGTATATTGAAATTGTACAAAGTACTGTGGGAAACAAAAGGGGGATAATGATTTATTCTGCCCAGAACATTTGAACTGAGCCCAAAAGCATAAGTTAAATCTAAATAAGTAAGCTGAAACAGCTGGAGGATATTCTAAGTAGAAAAGGAACTTGCATTAACAGGGCATAAAGACATAAATATACTTGCCAAGTTATTATAATAAATGTGGTAGAAACATTGAATATTAGGGAATGCAATGAAAGACAAAGTAAGATAATATGTTTCTGAATGATCACTTTATAAAACCTAAGAACTCAGTCTTACTTAGTCTTCTGTTATCTAAGTTGCTTACCTTTTCTTAAAGTAAACGTATTGTTTTTATTTTATTTATTTATTTTTTTAATATATTTTATTGATTTTTTTTACAGAGAGGAAGGGAGAGAAACAGAGAGTTAGAAACATGGATGAGAGAGAGTCATCGATCAGCTGCCTCTTGCACGCCCCCTACAGGGGTTGCACCCGCAACCAAGGTACATGCCCTTGACCGGAATCGAACCCGGAACCCTTCAGTCCCCAGGCCGACATTCTATCCACTGAGCCAAACCGGTTTCAGCAAATGTATTGTTTTTAATTTTTTTAAATTTTCAATTATACTTGACATCCTATCTAATAAAAGAATAATAGGCAAATTGATCACCCCCAACACACAAGATGGCCACCCCCATGTGGACAAAAGATGGCTGCTACAAGAAGGCCAGCAGGGGAGGGTAGTTGGGGGCAACCAGGCCTACAGGGGAAGGAAGTTAGGGGGAACCACACCTGCAAAGGAGGGCAGTAAGAGGTGACAGGACCGGCAGGGGAGTGCAGTTGGGGGCAACCAGGCCTGCAGGGGATGGGCAATCGGGCCAGCAAGGGAGCAGTTAGGCAAAGTTCAGGCTGGCAGAGGAGTGGTTAGGGGGTGATCAGGCTGGCAGGCAGGTGAGCGGTTGGAAGCCAGCAGTCCTGAATTGTGAGAGGGATGTCTGATGGCTCTCGAGGAGTCCTATATTGGAGAGGGTGCAGGCTAGGCTGAGACACACACACACACACACACACAAATTTTGTGCACTGAGCCTCTAGTAATTTATATTAGTTTTAGGTCTACAACATACTGAATAGACATTCATTTATACAACTTACGAAGTTATCACCCAATAAGAAACTTGTGTTGTGTTATTTGAATAGTAAAGTAATTGGAAATGAAATAATCTGTATATATCAAAGTTAATTTTGCCAGATGATTCTGATCAAGTGTATTTGTTAACCTAATATATATAGATAGCCTTAACAATAATCAAATGGTCTACAACTTTAGATTTTTAGCTTTAAGTTATAATATTATAGAACAAACTAGAGGCCTGGTGCATGAAATTTGTGCACGGGGGCAGGGGGTGTCCCCAGCCCAGCCTGCACCCTCTCCAATCTGGGATTCTTCTCACGATCCAGAACTGCTGGCTCCCAACTGCTCACCTGCCTACCAGCCTGATCACTCCCTAACCACTCCCCTGCCAGCCTGATTGATGCCTAACTGCTTCCCTGAAAGCCTGGTTGCCCCTAACTGCCCTCCACTGCAGGCCTGGTCACCCCTAACTGCCCTGCCCTTCAAGCTTGATCACCCCCAACTGCCCTCCCTTGCAGGCCTGGTCCCTCCCAACTGCCCTCCCCTGCTGGCCTGATTGCCCACAACTGCCCTCCCTTGCAGGCCTGGTCCCTCCCAACTGCCTTCCTTTGCTGGCCATCTTGTGATGGCTATCTTGTATTCACATGGGGCAGCCATCGTGTGTGTTGGAGTGATGGTCAATCTGCATATTACTCTTTTATTAGATAGGATAGAGGCCTGGTGCATGGGTGGGGGCCAGCTGGTTTGCCCTGAGGGTGTCCCGGATCAGGGTGGGGGTTCCTTTGGAGCATGGTGTTGCCTGGGCAAGGGGCCTGTCGTGGTTTGCAGGCCCAACCTGCAACCCAAGCAGAGGCCCTGGTATCTGGAATTTATTTACCTTCTATAATTGAAACTTTGTAGCCTGGAGTGGAGCCAAGCCTTCTGCTTGCTCTGTGGTGGCAGCCATTTTTGTTGGGATTTATGTGACTTCTATCATTGAAACTTTGTAGCCTTGAGTGGAGGCCTAGACTGACAAGGGCAGGTGGAAAGCTTGGCTTCCTCCATTGTCGGAGAATCCCAAGCATCCCTCCTGCTCTCTGTAGCTGTAGCCATCTTAATTGGGTTTATTTGCATATTTGCTCCTGCTTGGCTTGTGGGCGTAGTGGGTGATGGTTAATTTGCATATTGCTCTTTTATTAGATAGGATGGTTAAGATGACTCAAGTTAGCAGGTAATACTTAAATAAAAACTGATGATGTGTTGAATTACAAAACAACTGAGCAGACTGAAAATTAAAAATCTAAGAGATAGGGTTATAATCAGATATAGAAAGTACAAAGGGGGAAAGTAAGAATTCTTTTAAATAACTAAATATAATAGGGAAAAGTCAAAGTAAAATGGGCATCAATATCTTTGTTGAATGCTAAGTTCTGAACAAACAAGCCTATGAGTGATTCAGAATACATTCTTTATAAATAAAACAGGTTTGCCTGGCTGTTTCACTTTTGCCAACAAGTAAACAGGTTGACATGTTTTCACAGAATCTCTAGAACTTAACATTCTAAAAACATTTATTTAAGACAAAATGTCAGTTAGAGATAATTTTCCCCCCTCTGTTTCTGTGTAAAAATTATAAACATGAAAATAAAGGTCATAAAGAGATGCATAATTTGTGAACAGTTTTAAAAGTGTAAACTAGAATCCATACTATAAAAAGGTAATATGCTAATTAGATTGGACATCTTCCTGATAACCTTCCAGACATCCTTCTGAACAAAGCCACAGTGGCAGGGCCAAGGCAGAGGGAGTTGGGCAATCAGGCTGGCAGGGAAAAATCAGTTAGGATGATAAGATTGTCAGGGTATAGCAATTAGAGGGATCAGGCCAGCAGGGGAGAGCAGTTAGAGGGATCAGGCAGGCAAGGGAGAATAGTTAGGGCAAACAAGCTGGCAGGGGAGATCAGTAAGGGTGATCAGGCAAGCAGGTAGAGGCAGTTAGGGGTGATCAGGCAGGCAGGCAGAGTGATTAGGGATGATCAAGTAGGCAGGTGAATGGTTAGGAGCCAGTGGTCCTGGATTGCAAGAGGGATGTCTGGCTGCCGGTTTAGGCCCGATCCCACAGGGCCTATACCAGTAGTTGGACATCCTGTGGGGTCCCGGATTGGCGAAGGTGCAGGCCAGCCTGATTCATCGGGCCTTTTGTCTATAATAATAAAAGTGTAATACAATATAAAAATAATATAATAATAAAAGTATAATATGCTAATTAGATTGGACGACCTTCCAGATGAAGCTGGGGCTGCAAGGAATGCCTGGTCCCTGTTGCCTTGCCAGCAGCTGGAGGGAAACCCGGGTCCCACAACATGAGGAACTGAATTAAAGGGTCCTGGCTTTAGGAAGGTTGAGAACCATTGATCTAAAGCTTTACATAACGGATCCTGTGTTTTGATAAAATATAACCTAAATGCTACTTTTCAGAAAACCATATGAAAGCTAAAAAATAAAAATGATTAGATCCTTTGGGTAATAAACTGGACTACAAAATTTCCAGTACAGTTTTAAGAAAAAATAGCACTTATTTATTGAAGCTAAAGAAAGTTCATAAAATTAAAAATCAACAGCGCATTTTCTTAATCAGCAATAGGATGTAATATTGGTTTCCTAATTGCATGTAGAATTTTTTGCCACTGTCCATTTTCAATAAAAATATGAGGAAATCATAATTGTTTTTATAATTGGCTAATAAGTTGCCTTGTAAGTTAGGATTTTCTTCTGTAATGAATAAAGATCTTCTGAAATTTGTGAGGTTGAAATTCTATATTAATTGCCACACATTCATAATTTTCAATCAGTTACATTATATTGTGTATATTGTAAATACTTATAAAACCTTTTTGAATGGTTTTATAAGTATTTCCTTAGACATTATTTAGTAGGTATATGTCAAGATATATAGAGGACTTCTTAACATAGTAGAAATAATGTATTTGGATAAAATCACTGTGGCATCTGACACAAATAGCAAATAACCAGTTGCCACTTTCCCCTTAAGAGATATATTTTTTTTGGAAAAAGTATATGATTTATTTTTAATTCAAGCTATAATGATATCTAAAGTTCAAATAGTAAGTATATCAGTATAAAATGATGTTTTGAATATTTTAGAAGTGGCAGCCATCTTTTCAATAGCATTCTTAGAATGAAAGAAAACAAAACAAAACTTCTCAAGTCTGGGCTCTCCTGATAATTGGATTCTTAGAAAAGTGTAGCTTAATACTAACCACATCCTATTACTTTGTTCATTTTTTAAATATTCATCAGGAAAACTTTATCTGTTTTAGAATATGTCTTAACACTTCTGGTTAAAATGCTTTTTATATTTCAAATAAATTGAACTAGCCAGTATAATGTTTTTAATACTTATTAGCCAGGATTACATTGGTGGCATTCATTTTTAAAAATACAACCTATTAGTTGGTAATTTAAGTTATAGTAAGGAATTGAAACAGTGGGTTTTGGAGATAGACGTAGATATCAATCCTGTCTCTAAATATTTATTGTCTCTGAGACCTTGGTCATTAGTTTTGTTTAATAACTTTTAAAATACAGTATTAATAGTCCACATCAAGAGAGACAGTATCTCACAGTAGTTTTTATTGCTCTTATAGATCAGTGCACTGTCACCCGGACATATCTATTTCTTCATAAGTTCTGGTTCTTCAGTGCTGCGTACTATTTTGGTAACTGGGCCTTCCTTGGGGTAAGTATGGTTATCCCAGGGATGATTTGACCATTAATGGATTTTAAATTTATTATTTTCTGAATGACTTTAGGTTTGAGAAATAACATAGTTCATTGTTATTTACAGGTATTCTTAATCGGATTAATTGTATCCTGTTGTAAAGGGAAGAAATCAGTGATTGAAGGAGTTGAAGAAGATGATTCAGACATAAGTGATGATGAGCCCTCTGCCTATTCCATCTGACAGCCTTCTGTCTTAAAGATTTTATAAAGCTGACTGCAATATCTCATGCATTTTTGAAGTGTTAGGATGGACTGAAGATCTTTCATAAACGAATGGAGCATGGCTATTTAAAAAACTATATTTTTTATGTTTTCTGAAGTAACATTGTATCATAGATTAACATTTAAAATTGCTATAATAACACTCTGTAAATATAAAATTACCAGCTTTGTGAGGGTATGTTTGTGGAATTTTTCTCTCTGGTGTATAATAGTGTTAAATTGATTAAAAATCATCAGAATTAATACCCCCTTTTGTCAGTTTTTAAAAACATAATACATCACTGTGTCTTTGCCTTTGGATCTCTAAAGCAATGTGAAATTTTAAAGTGTCCATATCTGATTGTCTGGAAAAAATACTCATAATATAGCCAATAAATAAATGTTATTCCCCATGCATCTTGTTTCCTGTTTTCCACATTAAATCACTAGTGCCATTCAAATAGATTTCATGTACAGATTTCAGGCTACTTGATGCTCTAAGACTATGGCATTCTGAGGTGTGTTACGTTGTTATTGTTCAAATATTCATTATTTATCTTACTAGTGGCCTGGTGCCCAAAATCATGCATGGGAGAGGGGCTCCCTCAGCCCAGCCTGCACCCTCTCCAATCAGACATCCCTCTCACAACCTGGGATCGCTGACTCCTAACCGCTCACCTGCCTACCTGCCTGATCTCCCTTAACTGCCTCTGCCTGAATGCCCCTAACTGCCTCTGCCTCGACCCTCACCACCATGGCTTTGTCCAGAAGGAAGTTGTATGCTTAGAAGATGGCTGGTTGGCCCAGTCTAATTAGTATATTACCCTTTTATTAGTATAGATAGATTATATAGGATAGGGTTACTTACATGGTGTCGGGAGAGGAAGTCAGGTGGAGATGCTCTTGGCAGACAAAAAAAATACATAATCCCTAGATCTGGACTGATAGCCAGCCATATGCACTATATGTCAAACCAGTCATTAAAAAATTAAACCACTTCCTTTTAAAAATATGTGTATTTTATTGATTTTTTTACAGATAGGAAGGGAGAGGGTTAGAAACATTAATGAGCTGCCTACTGCACACCCCCTAGTGGGGTTATGCCCGCAACCAAAGTACATGCCCTTGACCAGAATAGAACCTGGGACCCTTGAGTTCACAGGCCGATGCTCTATCCACTGAGCCAAACTGGTTTCGGCAAGGAGACCTTATGTGCTGTGTATGCTTGACTCAACCAATCAAGTGATGTTGATTTCTACTTCTTAACTGTCCTCCCATTTGTCCCCTCTTCTCCATTTTTGCTGCCACTCGTGTTATGGACTTAATTGCATTGCCCAGAATTGTTACAGTGAAGCCATAACCCCTAGCACCTGAGACTGGCTATACTTGGAGATAGGGCTTTAAAAAAGTTAAAACGAGGCCATTCAGTGGGGCCCTAATCCAATATGCCTGATGCCCTTATATGAAGAGGAAGAGACCATGTTGAGGACACAGAGAGAAGATGGCCCTTAGCAGGTGAAGGAGAAAGCCCTATGGAAAATCCAACCCTGCCGGCAAATGGACCATGGACTTCTCGCCTCCAGAGCTGTGAGAAAATAAATGTCTGTTGTTTAAGCCATCAGTTCGTGTGTTTTGTTATGGTAGCTCAAGCAGACTAATACACTGATTCTTAAACTTCCTTACTGGACCCTCTGTCAAGTCCCAAATCTTCCCTCTGATGAAAATCCAAATTTCGCTCCTTTGCTGTGAATCTATAAGCCATCACATCATGTATAAGGTCTTTCTGGTGTGTTTCTTACCTGAGTATCCAACTTCCTCTGCCATCTTCACACTGCTTATATGAGCCAAACTAACCAATGTCTCATCATTATCCAAATGGCTCTGATTTTTCACATCCCCACCCTGCTGGACTGCTCCTTCTGCCTATGGTCCTCTGCCCTTCCTTTTGTCTCCTAAGAAAACTTTTTTCTTCAGATCACAACCTTAACATCTCCTCAGATACTGTGCCTCTAAGTCTCCCAGGCAAAGTTAGGTGCTCTGTCCCACTCATTGGCACCCTGTAGAGTGCGGTGATTTATTGCTTTCTCTTCTGCCTCCTTTCATGCCTGCGAGTCCTTGAACAATCTGTTTCTTCACCTTCATCCCTGGTGCCTAGTATATATCTCCTTGTACATGGAAAGTCCTCAGTTAACAGGGGAATTTGTTAGATGCTTTAAGTCTGAATACATGGTTTAAGCCTATATAAACTGCATCTAGATGAAAGGGAATATGTACTTAGCCTGTTTTAAGATTTATTTTGCTACCTAGACGTTTAGAAGCATTACCATATTTGTCTTGTATACTACATGTACGTTTACGTTTTATTATTTCTAGGAATGATTGTTTTTGTTAGACCAACCTCTTAGGCTTTCATTTTGCCTCTTGTATTTTTATAGTATACTATATGTTCTTCTTAGATTTAAACATTTGTTTTCTTGCCCATTTAGAAGTTTGCTTTTATTATAACCAAGTTTTTTTTGTTTTTCTTTCATGGTCATAACAAATTGCTTTAACATTTTATTTTCATGAAGCTAATTTAAGTGTTGTGACTTTCACTAATGAAGAACATATTTCCTTTGGAGTCCTCTAAAATGTCTAATTTAGAGATCATTCATAGTTATGGCTTTTCAAAAGGTCAAGGCCCTCAGGTTCCATGCAAACTTCAAACAGTGATTAGTTTCTTCAGCTATTGCAACAAGGTGCTGGCAAAAATGAGGATCCTGGAACTGACTTCTGTCTTAGTGCCACTATACTAAAGAAAATGCAGATACATATTGCATTGGGAAAAAAAAGAAAAAGAAAAGAAAGGATAAGCAAAGCAGGAGCTCCAGGAAAACAACAAGCCATGCAAGAAAAGAATGTCTTCAGGTGTACCACTGAGTTCTTCAGTACATACATAATTACAGTAAATATGCTGTCGTAGAATTAACCCATAGAACACAGTACACATTGATTATAGCACTGAATGCAAGTATCAGCTTTGACAATGCAAAGACAGCTGATACAAATTGGAAGGTTGGAGTGAGTGAAAGACAAGGGGGAAGGGGTAGGAATAGCCTCACTTTATGTGGGATAGGTGAGGGGAGTGGTGAAGAGAGAAATCAAGAGATATTGTCTTCGGGAGTGGAAGCAAAGTAAAAGGTATGACCATATTCAAGTTATGAAGTTAAAGGTAATACAATATCACATATAGAAATAGAACCGTGTTGGGAGATGGGCAAGGGGAGAGCCAAGGGAAACTGTCAAGCAAACAAAACTATTAGAAATCAGTGGGTATTTATGCCGAAACCGGTTTGGCTCAGTGGTAGAGCGTCGGTCCGTGGACTGAAAGGTCCCAGGTTCGATTCCGGTCAAGGGCATGTACATTGGTTGCGGGCACATCCCCAGTAGGGGGTGTGCAAGAGGCAGCTAGTCGATGTTTCTCTCTCATCGACGTTTCTAGCTCTCTCTCTCTCTCTCCCTTCCTCCTCTCTGTAAAATATCAAAATATATTAAAAAAAAAAAAAGAAATCAGTGGGTATTTAAAATGGAAACACTTAGCAATCACAATATATTAAAATGTAACAGGTATCAAAGATGCAAAGATCAGGGTATCATTTAAAGGGGAAATTTTATCAGAAGATGAAATAATTTCAATTATATGTAAACATGTCTGAATTTCCTGGCAACCGAGACAACTGAGGGATCATGAAGTTTTTACATTTGATAAAAGGAAGCACTCAAGTGTTTGTTTGATTGTTTGTTTTTTCTGGCATTAAAATTTAGAAGGAAGTTACATTGTGAATTCCTATGAAAAGAATGTTAACAATGAACAAGTGTCTTTGCTAAAATTTAAATAGGAAGGCATATGCAAGGAAACAGAATCTGGGATCTCCAGGGGAAGTCAGGTTGGCTTCGGAGAAGCCTCAAAGTGAATTAGCTTTGTGTGTACATCATTTATTCATCCCACTCAGCAAACATTGGGGCTCTACATATTCCAGTCATTAGATCGCAGATACTGATTTCCTAAGTTTGAAGCAGGCAGTCCCTGTTCTTTCAGAACTTGGTCTAGGAATTTGTAGCTGAGTGGCCCTTGGCAATAATTGAACCTTATCAATATCTACTAAAATTATATGTGTGTGCTATCATGAATACATAAACAATCACTTTATCAAGTTAGAGTTACCATAGAAAATATTCCAATAACTGGAATGTTTACATCCAAACAACAACACATCCTCTCTTGGTAGATGAACATGGAATTGATGTGAGATGCATAGTTGGGAGAAACATTTTAGTCATTTGCTGATGCATGATTAGTATCCACTTTTCTTTAGCAGAGACCACCTCCCAAGTGGCCAGATTGAGTTGTATTTCCCAGATACACATGTGTTTAACTGAATCCTAACTGACACATTATTTTACTCAATTTATACCTACAGATTACATTCTGGTTCTAGCACACCCCCTCTATCTATCTACTTACCTACCCATCGATCATCTGTCTCTCCTCCCTCCTTTTCTTCTCCACAAACATGTTTTGACTTAAGTTTTATTTGAGAAGTACCTTATTTCCCTTATTAGCAAGTTCTTTGGGAAGCACTTCTAGAACTACTTGTAATCTTCAACTGACTTCACAGGGAATGTGAAAACTTCCTTTCAGAACGAACTTCCAGTCATAACTTAGGGATAACATTCTGGGGAGAACTAAGCTAGTACGGTCAGGTATATGCCTTTCTGCATGGTTTTCCCATAGATTCATACCTGCTTCAGCTCTGTATGGAAGCTGGAGGATGGTACCAAGTCTAGATTGAGCTCTGGCAAATATGTATATCAAGCAGTGTCTTCTGTTGTCTATAGAAGTACATTTTTAAAAGCTTCTATTTATTTACCAGAGGCCCGGTGCATGGTGCCGAGATTCATGCATCAGTAGGGTCCCTTGGCCTGGCCTGCAGGGATCAG